AAGTTGAGTTGTAACTGGGCATGGCTAGACCCTAGGATTCCTACAAAAATCAATACTAGAAAACTCAAAGAGCTAAATGTAGCCATTTTGGAATGCTACTTAGTTTTCAAAGAGATTTTTGTTTTGTTGCGTTTTTGTACTCAAACAGCATGCATTAGAGCAAATTTATAGGCACTTTGCTTGTTTGATCCAACTAACATGTGTTTATTTTAGTACCATCTCTTTTTCTTCTTTCTTTCTGTAGTTTTTTAATTCATTAGAAAATTCATTAGTTATAGTCTGTCCCTATTGCACATGCTCAGTCATATCGATCATTTATATCATAATCACGTTGACCAATTAACCTTCCCAATAATGAATCAACCAAATCGTTGGGCTTATAATCATCTTTCTTGTCTTTTCTTTATCAAAACATTTGCCATGACATGCATCAAAGTTGAATAGTACTAACTCAATAGGTATATAACATTATTTGTAGCAAAGACAGATTCAGGATTTAAGATCTATAAATTCAATTTTTAAAGTTTTTAGCATTGAATCCATTGTACGTATCTTTAGAATTATGGGTTCAAATCTACTATTCATTATAATTTAAGTGAATTTTTATATATAAATTTATGTTCCGCATTGAAGCATTGGTTCAGATGAACCCGGCTGCAACATTGTATCCGCCTCTACCTGCTCCTGGAGTATATCTATCATCTATATATGTTCATAATGGTGCATGTGAAGTCCAAATACTTTTAACAAAGTGGAACAAATACCTGCTACTATAGCAGCCAGGACAGCTTATATACAGATGCTTGTGGCATATCCTAGTTTATTAATCAAGTCTATGACCTGTTTTGCTACTTGTTCTATTTCATATATATACAGTGAGATGCAGTCTTCGCTATAGATAGAAGAAAGTAGGAACCAAGCAAGCACAAATTTTCTTTATAAAAACTTTTAAGATATTAATTGTATATACTTGGAAATGCAACACTTGCCCATGAAAATAAACATGTTCTTTCAACATGTTGAGAAACAAAATGTGTTTGTGAAAAATAAGTCATTTTTCTGATATTTAATTTGGTGACAATCCATAGTAGCAGTAGGCTCTCCGAGCACGTTAAAAATTTGTCCCTGAGTCACTCCCCCGACCAGATGCTTATCGGTGCTCCTGTGTCAATCACTTCCATTCCTCTCATTAGACCGTCTGTTAGACCGTCCGTAGCACTCATAGCTACAGCCCTAACTCGATTATTTCCTAATAATTGTTGTACCTCACAAGCCACATTAATTGGTTGACCAACACTATCTCGACCTTGAACTACCGGAGCATTATAAATATTTGGCATCTTGCTTGGGGAAAGGCTAAATTTAGTACCGGACCGATGATTTGGACGATGCGGCCCAAGTTTCTTTTTTCAAGCATGGAAACTCTAGAACCAGAAGTAGTAGGATTGATTCTAATAATAATAAAATAAATAAATAAATAAATATGCCAAAATATTTTTGCAAAAATTATCGAATTCAAATTAAATGTCTGCTAGCACGTCAATCGCTTAATTCAATAAAATGAGAATTAGCACTCGATTTCGTTGGCACCCTGCAATTGAACCAATTCAATTGTTTGCCCTAGATCTGGTTAGCTGCATTCTTCTTCAGTATATGTTTGACTTGGGATATACAAAATAACAGACAACTAAAGGAGTAACTTACCAACTCAACTCTATGCGTGTACACTACCTAAACAGCGCGTTCTTTGTATTGCAGCATTATCTTGAAATATCTAATTTGTACCTAAACCAAGTACGTCTTTATTATAGAACTCTTTAGTACTTAAGTGTATTGTTTATTAACTTCAGTGTGTATTATAGTCGATCACAGTTTTATTTTCCAAATTTTAACTTGAACGAGTTGTAATTTTAGAACTCTTCTTACTATGCTCGGAAAAAACCGCCCAGATTTGGCCTCAAAACTAATAATAGGAGTATCACTTTTGGTTGCTGTGATTATGAAAATGTATATGGGTGAAATATAATATGACACGTGGTCGACTAAAAGGAAAACCCGTAGAACTCAAGACGGGGATGGCCGAAGACCGAACGCAGCATTCCGCTTATCACCGGAAAGGATAACGTTCATAAAAATGTGTTAAATGCTCTGCGGCAGGTAGCATTTAATAAGGAATATTTTGAAGCATTAAGAGCGACGGTCCGTTACAGAAAAATTGGCATTTATATTTACCGTTACATCTTCACCAATGACCCTCATAATCGACATTAAAGGAGGACACGATCCTATGACCTCCTTCCCTAGACGTATCTATAAATAATGAGCTCAGTTGTCATTGTAAGGGACGCGATTTTTTCTCGCTAAACTTATATTACATTCTATACAAAGCTTAAAAGAACCGATCGAAATCTGTCGGTTAATTCGACCGGTCATGTTAAAAAACAGACCGAATTCGGTCTGTAATTTTATTTTTTAATAAAACCGACCCACATCGGTCTGTTATTTTTAAAGAGTATAAATGAAATAAAAGACAGTCTTAAAACTAAATGCACTAATGGTCTAGTGATAGAATAGTATTCTACCACAGTACAGACGCCTGCTCGATTCCCAGATGGTGTATTTTTTAATTATATAATTAAAATACCGACTGACTTCGGTCAGTTTTTTTGGTAATTTTTATTTTGAAATTTAATTGACCGACCGAAATCGGTCGAAAAATACCGACCAAAGTAGGTCGGTTAGCTCTACCGACCGCCACAAATCGGTCGGTTTTCGGTCAATTTTTGCCAATTACCGATCAACATCGGTCGGTTTTGGCGGTCGGTTTTCCCCGTCTTTTATAGTGGTGATTATACATAAATTTATGTTTTGCTTCGAAAGCACTGGATTCAGATAAACCTGGTTGTAACGCTCCATCCGCCTCGACCTGCTCTTGTAGTATATCTATCATCTGTGTTCATAATGGTGCATGTGAAGTCCAAGTACTTTTAACAAACATGAACAAATACCCGCTACTTTAGCAGCCAGGACAGCTCAAATATAGATGCTTATGGCATATCCTTGTTTATTAATCAAGTCTCCCCCGACCGAAATACTTATAGGTGCTCCTGTGTCAATCACTTTCTTTCCTCTCTTTAGATCGTATGTAGCACTCATAGCTGCAACCCTAACTCAATTATTTCCTAATAATTGTTGTACCTCACAAGCCACATTAATTAGTTGACCAACACTATCTAGACCTTGAACCACCGGAGCATTATAAATATTTGGCATCCTGCTCGGGGGAAAGGCTATATGTAGTATCGGATCGATGATTTAGATGACACAGCCGGGGTTTCTTTTTTCAAACGTGGAAACCCCAGAACCATAAGTAGTAGGATTGATTCCCATAATATTAAAATAAATAAATATGTCGAAATATTTTTGCAAAAATTATCGAATTCAAAATAAATGTCCGCTAGCACGTCGATCGCTTAATTCAATAAAATGATAATTAGCACTCGATTTCGTTGGCACCATGCAATTGAACCAGTTCAATTGTTTGCCCTTTGAAGAACTGGTTAGCTGCATTCTTCTTCATTATTTGACTTGGGATATATAAATGACATACAAACATACTAACTCAACTCTATCCGTCTACACTACCTAAACAACGCATTCTTTGTATATATCACAGCGTTATCTTCAAATATTTGACTTGTACTTAAACCAAGAACTTTATTATAGAACTTTATAGTACTTAAGTGAATTATTTTTTAACTTCAGTCTGTTTTATAGTCGATTACAGTTTTATCAAATTTTAACTTGAACGAGTTGTAAGTTTAGAACTCCTCTACTATGCTCCCTTTCCGGTGCGAGATCTTTTGGAAAAAACCGTACAGATTTGGTTCAAAATGAATAATATTACACTTTTGGTTGCCATGATTATGATAATATTTCCGGTATAAAAGTCGGTATCATTTTTTACTTCGTTTGGTTGCATTTTTATTTTCTATATAAGTAAACATATAACTACTAATAATAATATGATTTTATACTGGAATCTTGGTACCGTTGTGATATAACAATCCAACAATTAGTTATACCTGGATACATACAAGTAAAATGGATCGCAAAAAATTTCCCTTATTCTAAAATTAAACACATGTTTAGATTATCCATTTTGGAACCGAAAAAAATAAGATGTCATGCGGAAGCAAACAAAGCAAACATTGATAACGATAAATAAGACGACAAAATAAAGTATATATATTAAAAGAGGCATAATATTAATCCCAGTATAATCTTGTTTGCAAACTAAACATGAATGACATGCATTTGATGTGGTTAATAGTCTGCTGAATCTTCTTTCAGAATAGTAACAAATCAATCATACAATAGTGGCAAGAAAAATTATAAAATCTTTTCTTTCTCATTTTCCTTTTTGTTCTCTGATTGTTTTGTTTTCTGGTAATCAGTCCATTTCGCATATATTAGCAATAATAACATTAAAAAATGCTTCACTTAGAAGGTGCTAACTGCTAAATTTAAAAATCAACTTACCATTACTGCAGCTATGCCTATTTAACAAATCAAACTAAAGGATTTGTATATCACAATCATCTTCCTATTTAAAGGACATGTATTTGAGTGTCCCAATCATCACTTTAAGCAAGAAAGTACATTGAGATTTTCATAATCCTTTGTCCAAAACAGATAATGGCAACATTTAAGTTTCTTTCATTTCTCATTCTT